GCGCCCCGGATTTTTTTTTTTTTTTTAAGCAATTCTTTTGCTGATCTTTGCTGATATTCGTCTATTTCAGTCAACAGCTTCGGCACTAAGTATCATGTAGCTATTTCCAAACAAATCAAATCTACCCTCAAAGCAGATGAATGATTGGTTGTCAGAAGCTTTTGTACCCAGCAGATCTGTGGTGATAGTGTTACCTGCATTCTGCAGCTATGAAAACCCACCAACACAGTAATGATGTGAGAAAGCCAGGATTTATACTCTGATCTATGTGACTACAAATGTCTAGGCTCTTTCCTCTGTGCTACCATTCCTCAAAAGAGGGACTTTTGCGACCCATGGGCACATTTGAAATAATGTTTTGTAGATCCCGAAGCAATTTCTAAAAATGAATTTTAGAGTGCTTTCAATAACCAACGCTGAGTAGGAGCTAGTCTCTCCATTTCAGTGATGATAGAATTCATTTGAATTTAGAAGCCCCATCTCTTTAAAATAAAAAAAAAAATGTAATATAGGCATACCTTGGAGATATTAGGAGTTCAGTTTCAGACTGCTGCAATAAAGCAAATATCACAGTAAAGTGAGTCAAGTGACTTATTTGGCTTCCAGTGCATACGGCAGTTATGTTTATACCAAATTATACTCTATTAAGGGTACAGTAGCATTATGTCTAAAAAATGTACACATCCTAATTAAAAAAATACTTTACTGCTGAACACATGCTCACCATCTCCTGAGCTGATGGCAAATCATCACAGATCACAGATCCCCGTTACAAATATGGTAATAATGGAACGTTTGAAATATTTCTAGAATTACCAAGGCCTGACACAGACACACAAAGTGAGTGGATGCTGATCGGAAAATGGTGTCAGTAGATTTGCTCAACACGGGGTTGCCACAAACCTGCAATGTGCAAAAACCACAGTATCTGTGGAGCACGATACATCGGGGTGTGCCCGTATTATGACTGACGCTGTTTTTCAAAGTGTGGGTCCTGTAACCCTTTGCATTAGAATCACCCGGAGCTGGTATTGCCCTTTGACCTGGGTAAGAGGGATCCCCAGTGTCATGTAAGGCCCTGATCTGGCTCTCCTTCAGCCATACCCCTTCCTATAAGGCAAGGGGTCCCTGAAGAGTGATCAGCCTCCTACCAGATCATGCTCTGGTGCTCAGAACCCAGGAATTCCCACTAAACTCAAGGAATCATGACAAGGGCACTCATTCTCATTGTGGTGGAGCGAGATTTGTTCACATGGGTCAACGCAAGGCCCCTCACTCTGTGGGAGGGGCTAGGAGAAGGAAAGGAAAGGAATCCTGCAAGGGTAGGTCAGGGCACCTTATTTGTCAAGGCCAGGGAATAGATCATCTGTTATTTAACAGTTTGTTTAAGTTTTTTAGAAGTTCATTTATTTATTTTGAGAAAGAGAGAGAGAAAACATGAGCGGGGGAGGGGCAGGGAGAGAGGCGGGGTGGAAAGAGAGGATCCCCAGCAGGGTCTGCGCTGTCAGTGGCGTTAAATTTTAATGAATATATCGAAATATGGGATGCTGCCTTCCTTTGTACTCTTGGCCGAGAGAACGGGCCTGGCCCACCCTGGGGGGCTGTTGGGATGCACATTCCCAGAGCCCATTCCAGACTTCTGCGTCAGAAGCTGGGGGCACAGGCGGGGGCCTGCACTTTAACCTGCTCCCCAGGTGATGCTCTCGCGCCCTAAGCTGAGAGCCAGGGCTGGAAGGTGACTCTGAGATCATGTCCAAAGTGCTCTGGCTGCTTCTTCGCAGGCTGGGGCTTCAGCATGGGCACCAATTACCACTTCCACAGCTGGCGGGTGTTTGTCATCATCTGCGCTCTGCCCTGCACCGTGTCCATGGTGGCCCTGAGGTTCATGCCAGAGAGCCCACGGTTCCTGCTGGAGGTGAGTCAGTACCCCCACCCCCCCCCACCCCATCTGAGAGCCCTTTAGCCCCGCGTCCCCTCCTGCCTGCAGGTTGCAAACCACCCCCTCTGTTGGCCGACCTGGCCCATCATTATGTCTGGCTTCACTGCCATCCGCGGTGGCCGTGCACCCTGGATCGCAGACTGTCAGGGGCAGAGGGGCGCAGGGGCTCCCCGAGTGCAGAGTGGGACAGGGCTCCCCCAGGCTGGGTGGCGGTGGAGGGGGCTTCCCGACGCTGCCTCCAGCCCCCACTCTCTCCAGAGGCTCTTGAAAGCGGTGGGGTGTTTTTTCAAGTTGCTGCAGCGAGATCTGTGGCAATACTTGTGTGGTTCCCAAGTCCATGAGGACTTTTGACCATCCAGACCATCTGAGAGTTTCTGCTGGTGTCTTGAGAGAAGAATCCTTCCAGCTGGGGGTGGGGCGGGGCACTTGGGCTTGTGGTGGTCAGACAGGGTGGGGCTGGCAGAGGAGAAATCTCTTCCACCCCCAATTCTGAGTCCACCTATGTGTCTCCTTCTAGATCTTTCTACAGAGTGATCACTTTGTCAAATTCCCTTTTGTCCCATTGATCAGGGGCAGACACAGCAAGGGGTTTTTTTGTTGTTGTTGTTTGTTTGTTTGTTTTCGTTTTGTTTTAACCAGGGATATCTCAAAATACTCCCTTTGTTGTGTATTCGTTTCAAAGGACTCTGTTACAAACTGAGTGGCTTAAAGTAACAGAAATTGTCTCACAGTTCTGGAGGCTGGAAGTCCAACATCAAGGTGTCAGCTGGGCCACGTTCCCTCTGAAGTCTGTAGGGCAGTCCTTCCTTGCGTTTTCCAGCTTCTGGTGCTTTGCCAGCAGTCGCTTGGCTCACGGCTGCCTCACTCCACTTCCTGCCCGAGTCATCCCAGGTTGTGTCTATATTCCTATGGCTGGCTTTTTATAAAGACTCCAGTTGAACCAGATTAGGGGCCCACGCTGCTCCAGTAGGACCTCGTCTTAATTACATCTACAGCAACCCTCTTTCCAAATTAGGGTCATGTTCCAAGGTCCTGGGGTGGGAGGAACACAATTCAATTGTAACATATTGCTGCTTTGCTCTCCCTAGTCAGAGAGGAATGTGGCTCCCACTTAGTGGTCCGTGCAATTTTAAAAAAATGTTTGTTGGGGCGCCTGGGAGGCTTGGTCGGTTAAGCGTCTGACTTCGGCTCAGGTCATGATCTCACGGTCCATGAGTTCGAGCCCCGCGTCGGGCTCTGTGCTGACAGCTCAGAGCCTGGAGCCTGTTTCAG